GTAGTGAGGAAGTGAAATGAGGAAGTTACGCACCTTCAGGCTTTCAAAGTGGTCATTGGATTTCAGGCTCCTTTTTGTGGCTAGGCTCCCAAAAAGTCTCACACATGTGGTATCCCCATACTCGGTAGAAGTAGCAGAATGTATTTTGGGGTGTATTTCCACATATACCCATGGTTTGTGTGAGCAATATATAATTTAAGTGACAACTTTGTGTATGTCCTGGTATTTTAGCACCTAAAGAAATGTGATAGGCAGTCAGAAAGTAAAAGCTGTGTAAATTCCATTATCTATACCATAGTTTGTAGACGCTATAACTTTCACACAAAGCAATCAATATACACTTAGTGAGATTTTTTTACCAAAACATGTAGCAGAATACATTTTGGCCTAAATTTATGAATAACTTTGAGTTTACAATATATTTTTTGTAGCCGAAAGTAAAAAATATGTTTTTTTTTCAAAATTTTCAGTAATTTGTTTGTTTATAGAGCAAAAAATAAAAAGCGCACAGGTGATCAAATACCACCAAAAGAAAGCTCTATTTGTGTGAAAAAAAAGGATGTAAATTTCGTTTGGGTACAGCATTACATGACCACTCAATTACCAGTTGAAATAGTGCAGCGCCAGATAGCAAAAAGAGGCCTGGTCAGTTAGGGGGGTAAATCCTCAGGATGGCAAGTGGTTAAAATGACAAAGGGAACAAAATGCATGCATTTGCTTTTTTGTACAATACAGGTGAACACCTTGCGCATAGCAACATGATTTTTGATGTGGAACACATTTATTTACATTACTCTCATTAATGCACTGCATCTGCACTGTTAATGCACATATATGAAGGTATGTGCTGTCAATGTAATTTAGGATTTAGAGAGCCTAACAAATAGCTCAACTGCATTTGAGTTTGCCTGCATTTAGCACTGACGAATGCAGTTTTGAAAGCATTAACTGTAAAGTCTGTTGTCAACATGCACAGACAATTGTCTGAGAGTTGGATGAGTCTCAAGTAGAGAATAATGCATCTTTGATGTGTCCAGCACTCTTCCAAATCTGCCTTATATTGACAGCTGAATGCAGAATAAAGAGCAATTGTCTCTGTGGTGGATGACTATACACACTGTGCCAAGAACACTACATGCAGAAGCACAGAGGTGCATTCACAATTGTAAATACAAGATATCACCTGTTTATTTTTAGTGCCAAACATCTGCACTGCCAAGTGATTATACAGTTGCAAGAAAAAGTATGTGAACCCCTTGGGATTACGTGCAGTTTTGCATGAATTGGTCATAAAATGTGCTCTGAACGTCATCTAAGTCACAACAATAGAAGAACACAGTCTGCTGAACATAATACTACACAAACATTAGATGTTGTCATGGTTTAATTGCACATAACGTGTAAACATTCACAGTGCAGGGAGGAAAAAGTATGTGAGGCCCTAGCTTAATGACTTCTCCCAGAGCTAATTGGAGCCAGGAGTGAGCCAACCTTGACTCCAATCAGTGTGATGATATTGGATGTGTTGCTGACAGCTGTCCAGTCCTTAAAAAACAAACACCTGTTTTGGGTTTACTGGTTTCAAGAAGCACTGTCTGATGTGAACCATGCCTCGCAGAAAAGAGCTCTCAGAAGACCTACTATCAAGAACTGTTGACTTGCATGAAGCTGGAAAGGGTTACAAAAGTATCTCCAAAAGCCTTGATGTTCATGTGTCCACGGTAAGACAGACAGTCTACAAATGGAGAAAGTTTAGCACTGTTGCTACTCTCCCTAGGCGTGGTCGTCCTGTAAAAATGACTGCAAGAGCACAGCGCAGAATGCTGCATGAGGTAAAGAAGAATCCCAGAGTGTCAGCTAAAGACCTACAGAAATCTCTGGCACATGCTAACATTTTTGTTGACACATCTACAATAAGGAAAACATTAAACAATAATGGAGTACATGGGAGGACACCACGGAGGAAGCCATTGCTGTCCAAAAAGAATTTTGCAGCACGTTTGAAGTTTGCAAAAGAGCACCTGGATGTTCCACAGCACTACTGGCAAAATATACTGTGGACAGATGAAACCAAGATTGAGTTGTTTGGGAAGAACACACAACACTATGTGTGGAGAAAAAAAGGCACAGCACACCAACATCAAAACCTCATCCCCACTGTAAAAATGGCGGAGGGAGCATCATGGTTTGGGGCTGCTTTGCTGCCTCAGGGCCTGGACGGATTGTTGTCATTGATGGGAAAATAAATTCCAGAGTTTATCAAGACATTTTGCAGGAAAACGTACGACCATCTGTCCACCAACTGAAGCTCTGCAGAGGATGGGTGATGCAACAGGACAATGACCCAAAGCATACAAGTAATTCAACAAAACAATGGCTGCAATAGCACAGAATACACCTTCTGGAGTGGCCCAGTCAGAGTCCTGACCTCAACCCGATTGAAATGCTGTGGCATGACCTTAAGAGAGCGATTCACACCAGACATCCCAAGAATATTGCTACACTGAAACAGTTTTGTGAAGAGGAGTGGTCCAAAATGACTCCAGATCGTTGTGCAGGTCTGATCTGCAACTACAGGAAACGTTTGGTTGAGGTTATTGCTGCCAAAGGAGGGTCAACCAGTTATTAAGTCCAAAGGTTCACATACTTTTTCCTCCCTGCACTGTGAATGTTTACATGTTATGTGCAATTAAACCATGGCAACATCTAATGTTTGTGTAGTATTATGTTCAGCAGACTGTGTTCTTCTATTGTTGTGACTTAGATGACGTTCAGAGCACATTTTATGCCCAATTCATGCAAAACTCCACGTAATCCCAAGGGGTTCACATACTTTTTCTTGCAACTGTATATATACAGTGCTCAGCATAACGGAGTACATCCCTTTTGAAAAGTAAGATTTTAATCAATATCTCAATGAACACAAGAACAATTTCCAAAATTTTGACAAACCTGAGTTTTTTTAGAACATTTGTATAGCTCATTAAGGTAAATAATATAACTTAGATTACAAAATCTCCAGTTTTACTCAAATAAGTGAATACACCCTATAACAAAAACTACTACAGCTAGTATTTTGTATGACTGCCATGATTTGTAAGGACAGCACCAAGTCTTCTAGGCACTTGGAATGAACAAGTTGGCGACATACTGCAACATCTATCTTTTTCCATTCTTCAAGAATGGCTTCTTTTAGAACCTGGATGCTGGATGGAGAGTGATGTTCAACTTGTCTCATCAGAATTCACCATAGTTCAGGGGTAATTTTCTACTGACCAAGGTCTGAATTTTATGTTTGTGCTATGACTCAGAGTATAGTTACAAGTTACTATATGTCTATAAAAAAAAAGAGAAACGTACAATTACCATATCATTTCAACAATATTTATTGTCTAGATTCAGTTACGACATTAAACATGTGGACAGTTGGAACTAGAATGGCTTTACATTTGCTCATGTCTTTCTATGGAATACAATCAACTATCTTTAGCAGAAACAACATGGAAACAAGTAAGTAACTCTTTAATAAAACATAAAAAGCGCATCCATATTTCAAGTAAAAGAAAATAGCACCTTCTCACTTACATAACTGAAGGTGTCAATCTGAACTTGCACACATTATCCTGGTTACTTTAAATTTTTTCCCTTACAAAAACCTCTACCTTCCCTGTCTAGTGAGAAAAATGGGCTTGTGGTTGTCCTGCCAGTAGTTTGAATCTTGGCTTAAATGGAGTTACTGCCATTCTCATGCACATTTGTAGATGTTCATTGGTGAGCCTGGAATGATACTTAGTTTGAATAATGTTCATACTGGAGAAAGCTGACTCATAGCTGTACATACAGTATATCCAAACATGGTCAAGGTGTGTAGTGCTACATTGATTAGACATGGGAATTCAGTTTCAGTCAGAATCTGTGGCCAGAAGTTAGCAGGATCAGTCCCTTCAAAGTGCTCTTAGTGCAACATTTGTTTGCATATCAATAATATATAATTTCTGTCTGTAGAGATTCCTCATGTGCCCACATGAAGGTCTGCATCACCGCCTTTGAAAACATTCTGATATGTTTAATGAGGGATGGATTGTAGATGAGCAGGTGGAGCTGCTGTCCAAGACTGAAGCTGTCAAACCATTAACTGAAGTTTCCAACCAGTTTATTTATGAAGTCAACAAAAGGAGAAACATCTCTCTTTCTTTGAGTTTGTTCTTTCACCTTTGTAAAATGCAAGCACTTTCCTTGAAGATCTTCCTTGAACAAATCCAGTTTTCTCTGGAAGGAGTGGACAGTAATCATCAAATCACAAATTGAATTGTTCTTGCCCTGCAGCTTTAAATTCAGTTCATTAAGGTGTGATGTTATGTCTAATAGGAAAGCAATACTATCCATTGTGCTCTCATCTTATAAAAACAGTGAAAGCTGTTTTGCTTTCTGACTTTTGAGTTGTACTAAGAAAGCTGCTACAGCTGTTTGAATGGACCAAAATCGTTCCAATACACTGCCTTTACTCAGCCATCTGACATTGTTGTGCAGTAAAAGGTCATTTGCATTTGCCTTAACTTCTCTAAGAAACTCTCTTAGTAAAAAATGTTGATGGGATGAGGATACCCTGAGGAAGTTGATAAGTTTCATCATTGTGTCCATTATTTCTGCAAACTTTTCTGATAGAACGGCACACAGGACAGTCTGGTGAACGATGCAGTGGTATGCAATAAGATCAGGGCTGTCCTCTTTCAGCAATGCCACAGCTCCCCTCTCCTTTCCTACCATGACAGGGGCACCATCAAGCATTCCCATCAAAGTGCCACTTCATATCAGGTTTCTGCATCAGAAGGCCCCCTTACATTTGGTGTCTCCCATCAGTGTGCTCCCTTACATCAGTTGTCCCCATTAAAGTGCTCCATTATATAAGGTTCCCCCATCACGGTGACACTTTACATAGGGTGTGCCCATCAGTGTGCCCCCCTACATTAGGTGTTGCAATCAGAGTGCAAATTTACATCATGTATTCCCATCATATCAGTTGTCCCCATCAGAGTGCCCATTTACATCATGTATCCCCAGCACAGTGCCACCTTACATCAGGTATTCCCGTCAGAGTGCCCCCTTACACTCAAAGTACCCCTTTCTATCATATTTCTCCATCAGAGTGCCCCTTTACATCATATTTCTCATCAGAGTGCCCCTTTACATCACATGCACAAATCAGACTGCACCTTTCCATCACGTGCCCATCAGAGTGCCCCTTTCCACAGTATGTACCCTTCAGAGTGCCCCCTAACATAAAGGATGCCATCAGAGCGCCCCTAAACATAAAATGTGCCCATCAGAGTGCCCTTTAACATAAAAATGTGCCTGTCAGAGTGCCCCTTAACATAAAATGGGCCCATCAGAGTGCCTCTTAACATAAAATGTGCCTGTCAGAGTGCCCCTTAACATAAAATGGGCCCATCAGAGTACCCCTTAACATAACATGTGCCCATCAGTGTGCCCCCTTACATTAGGTCAGTGTTTCTCAACTCCAGTCCTCATGGACACCCAACAGGTCATGTTTTCAGGATTTCCCTCAGATGAAACAGCTGTGGTAATTACTAAGGCAATGAAACTGATCAAATCACCTGTGCAAAATAATGGAAATCCTGAAAACATGACCTGTTGGGGTCCATGAGGACTGGAGTTGAGAAACACTGCATTAGGTGTTGCAATCAGAGTGCAAATTTACATCATGTATTCCCATCATATCAGTTGTCCCCATCAGAGTGCCCCTTTACATCATGTATCCCCAGCAGTGTGCCGCATTACATCAGGTATTCCCATCAGAGTGCCCCCGTACACTCAAAGTAACCCTTTACATCATATTTCTCCATCAGAGTGCCCCTTTACATCATATTCCCCATCAGAGTGCCCCTTTCCATCACATACGCCAATCAGACTGCACCTTTCCATCACGTGCCCATCAGAGTGCCCCTTTCCACAGTGTGCACCCATCAGAGTGCCCCCTTAACATAAAGGATGCCATCAGAGTGCCCCTAAACATAAAATGTGCCCATCAAAGTGCCCTTTAATATGAAAATGTGCCTGTCAGAGTGCCCCTTAACATAAAATACGCCTGTCAGAGTACCCCTTAACATAAAATGTACCCATCAGAGTGCCCCTTAACATTAAATAAGGGGTATGCTGATGAGCACATTTTATGCTAAGGGGCCCTCTGATGGTCACATTCTATGTTGTGCCCAGGGGCGGACTGACCATTCGAGAACTCGGGCACTGCCTGAGGGCCCAGGGTCAGTAGGGGGCCCCATGAAATGCCCCTGGTACCTTTTTATAGGCTTTTTCTGAGTGTGGGCAAGGACACAGGGGCCCCATGATCCCCTATTGCCTGGGGGCCCCATTAGTTGTCAGTCCCCCTCTGGTTGTGCCCCTGTAAGACCACACCCTACCTTGAGGGCAGACAGGAGCTGTGCCAGGAAGGATCAGCTGCACTCTTGTGGACAGGCAGGGAGCGGGAGCTGGAGAGACAGTGAGCTGCAAGGCGTGGGGCGCAGATGTGATGTCATCGGTTGCCATGACAACCGCCCTGCTGAGGGACGGATCTGTCATTGCGGGCTGATGTGCTGGTGGAGCCAGAAGGGAGCCCTGCTGGGCCCATTCTCGGACCGCAGTCTGCCGTTTAGTGACTGCTGCCATAGATGTTTGATTGGGTTCAGATCAGGAGACATACTTGGCCACTAAATCACTTTTACCCTGTTCTTCTTCAGAAATGCAACAGTGGCCTTAGATATGTGTTTTGAAAAATTGTCATGCTGGAAAACTGCACGATGACCAAGGGCACAGAGTGATGGTAGCATCTTCTCTTTCAATATAGAGCAGTACATCCGTGATTTCACGATACCATCAATGAAATGCAGCTCCCCAACACCAGCAGCACTCATGCAAACCCACAGGACACTGCCACCACCATGTTTCACTTAGGCACCATGCATTTTTCTTTGTGCCTCACCTTTGCAACGCCATACAGTTTTGAAGCCATCAGTTCCAAAAACAGTCATCTTGGTCTCATTACTTCAGAGTACAGAATCCCAGTAGTCTTCTTTTTCAGCATGGGCCCTGGCAAATTATAGGCGGACTTTTTTGTGCATGAACTTTAGCAGAGGCTTCCTTCGTGGACGACACCTAAGCATGCCATTCCTAGGCAGTGTATGCTGTATTGTGTCACAGGAAAAAAATCACCTCAGTTTAGCTTTCTACTTCTTTATCTAACTGCAGTGATTTTGCATGGCAATTTTCTTCAACCATTCTCATCAGCAGACGCTCCTGTCAAAGTGTTAACTTCCTGGACAGCCTGGACGTCTCTGTGAGATGGTTGCAGTTTCATCTTTGTTACATTTTTGTATTACTTTTGCTACAGTATTCTGACTGATAAGTTGAATTATTGTTATTTAGGATTTTGTTGTCTAAAATTTAGCTTTGCTCCTAAGACTTTCATTGGGGGTTATTCATTTTTGCAACATGGTCTTGAATGATTTTGTTAGGAAAAATCCTTTATTGTGTGTGCAAATTAACAAATCTTGTTTGCAATCAATGGCCCGCATTTGTGGGAGTGTTTTGTAGTAATGTGTCCCATAGAAAATGTTGATTCTGAATGGAAAGTAAAGGTTCTCTGACAAATGTATGCATGTATGTATATATATATATATATATATATATATATATATATATATATATACTTTATTGCCAAAAGTATTGGGACACCCCTCCAAATCATTGCATTCAGGTGTTCCAATCACCTCCACATGGCCACAGGTATATACAATCAAGCACTTAGGCATGCAGACTGCTTCTACAAAAATGTGTGAAATAATGGGTTGTTCTCAGGAGCTCAGTGAATTCAAGTGTGGTACCATGATAGATTGCCACCTGTGCAATAAGTCCATCCTTGAAATTTCCTTGCTTTGTGTGAAAATTATAGCGTCTACAAACTATGGTATAGATACTGCAATTTATGCCATTTTTTGCTGTGCAGTGCTATGCTAGTTTGACTGAAAATTGCACAGTCATGCAAAGCTGTACATAAATGAAATCTATGTCCTTTTTTTTCACACAAAAAGATCTTTCTTTTGGTGGTATTTGATCACCTCAAAATGACGTTTTTTTTTTTTTTCTGCACTATAAACAAAAAAAGACCGAGAATTTAGAAAAAAAATTATATTTTCTCATTTCTGTCATAACAAATATTCAAAAAACTAAAATTTTGTCATAAAATTAGGCCAAAGTGTATTTTGCTACGTCTTTGGTAAGACAAATCCAAATAACTCCATATTAATTGGTCTGCGTGAAAGTTATAGCATCTACAAACTATGGTATAGATCAGTCTTTCTCAACCTTATTGAGACAGTGGAACCCCTAAGATAACTTTCAAGTCTCAGGAAACCCCTGCTAAAAATTACTATATCTACAACTCATGATGCATCAATGTGATATTCAATGGGAAGAATGCTCCTTATACTTGTGGTTACTGGGAAGAATTACCCCTAAAGATAGCTAAAAATATCAATGGTGTCAGTGGGAACTTATCTGAGAGGCAGAAATTTCTCATTGCTCAAGGAACCCCTAGCAACCTCTGGAGGAACTCTAGGGTTCCACGAAACCCTGGTATAGATAATGGAATTTACACAGCTTTTACTTTCTGACTGCCCATCACATTTCTTGAGGTGCTAAAATACCAGGACAGTACACACACACGCCAAAATGATCCCTATTCAGAAAGTAGACAGCCTAAGCTATCTGCTGAGAGGCATGTTGAGTCCATGGAAAATTTATTTTTTTTCCACAAGTTTTTGGAAAATGACAAAAAAAAGTATTTTTTTTTACATAAAGTTTTCATTGAAATTATATATTGCTCACGCAAGCTATGGGTATATGTGGAATTACATCCCAAAATACATTCTGCTATTTCTACTGAGTACGGGATACCACATGTGTGAGACTTTTTGAGAGCCTAGCCACATACAGGAGCCTGAAATCAAATGACCACTTTGAAAGTCTGAAGGTGTGTAACTTCCTCATTTCACTTCCTCACTACCTATCACAGTTTTGGATGCCCTGAAATGCCAGGATAGCACCCCCCCCCCCAAATGACCCTTTTTGGAAAGTAGACACCCCAAGGAGCTTAAAAAGAGGCATGGTGAGTATTTTGCAGAACTAATTTTTTTTCACAAGGTTTTGAAATATAAAAAAAGAAAAAATATGTTTTTGTTTTCTATCTTCATTTTCCAAAAACTTGTGGCAACAAACGAGATCTGCAAAATACTCACCATGCTTCTTATCAAATTCCTTGGGATGTCTACTTTCCAAAAAGGGGTCATTTGGGGGGGGGGGTTTGGTGCTATCCTGGTATTGCAGGGCCTCCAAAACTGTGATAGGTAGTCAGGAAGTGTAATGAGGAAATAAAGCCCTTTAAAAGCCTGAAGGTGCTTATTGGATTTTTGGGTCCTGTACTTGGCTAGACTGCCAAAAAGTCTCTCACATGTGGTATCCCCATACTCGGGAGAAGTAGCAGAATGTATTTTGGGGAGTAATTCCACATATACCCATGGCATGTGTGAATAATAAATAATTTAAGTGACAATTTTGTGTAAAAAAAAAAAAAAATTTCCAAAAACGTGTGGTAAAAAATTTAATTTTTCTGTTGACCCAACATGCCTCTCAGCAAATAGTTTGGGATGTCTACTTTCCAAAAAAAGGTCATTTTGGGGCGTGGGGGCATTTTATGCCCAGCATTAAAAGTTTATGCCACACCTGAAGAACAAGCCTTTTCTGACACTTTTTGTTCACATGAAAAAAGTCAGTATTTTTTGCTAGAAAATTACTTTGAACCCCCAAACATTATTTATTTTTTTAACGCAGACACCTTAGTGAATAAAATGGTGGGGTGCTGCAATTTTTTATGTCACATAGTACTTGCACAGCGATTTTTCAAAAAAATAAAAAATTTTTACTTTTCATGCACAAAAACACAATATATTGGCCAATTATTTGGTAAAATATAAAAGATGATGGTATGCCAAGTAAATAGATATCAAACTTGACATGCTTTAAAACTGTGCATGCCCCGTGCAATGGCGACAAACTGCATACATTTTTAATATCCATAGGCAATGCTTTAAAAGCCTTTACAAGCTACCATTTTAGATTTAGAGTAGGTCTAGTGCTAGAATTACTGCCCTTGATCTGACGTTCGCGGTGATACCTCACATGTATGGTGCAACCACTGTGTAAATACTGCTATGGGGTCAACACTCTTTTTTTTTAGTTCTTTTGATTTTTTTAATTATTTTTACACTGTCCCTTTCATTTTTTTTAATCACTTTTAATGCTATCACAGGAAATGCACATATCCCCTGTAACTTCAATAGGCATTGACATATATTCTTTTTTGAGAAATCTGGGGTCTATCAGACTCTAGATATCTCCTCTGCACTTACATTATCTAATCTCACCAAGATCGGTGTGATCAGATGCTATCCCAATTTACAAATGGCGCTGTTTATATCCAGCAAAACTGAAGTGATGCAATGCTCGTAGCTTCTGATTCCTTAGACTATAGAGATGATTGGCGCCATTCCGGTCTCCAATCAGCTCTGTGGTGGCACTGGCAGAAACACCGGCTGCATTCTCAGGTTCCCCTGATGGCACGGACTGCCCGAGGAGGCCGTGGAAGGCAGCGGGGAAGGTAGCGGGGGAGGGTGGCATCTTCTCTCACTGATTGTCAAAGCAATCCTGCAGCTAATTAGCCACTAGGATTGTTTTTACATAAAAGCGGATCGCTGGCTGAAAAAAAACGATACTATAACCACTCAAAGTCAAGTGATGTACCAGTACGTTGCTGGTCCTTGTTGGGTATATATGCTATGTTATTTTTTTTTTTATGCAGCCTGTGGGCTGAATGACAAAAAAAGAAGTAATCTCTGCCAGAAAAAGTGAATGGTATGCCCACCATTAGAATATACCGCCCTGCATCCACCCACTTCTAATGGTGGGCACACATGAAATGTTATTTTTTTGTCGTTCAGCCTATATTCACATTGGTCAATGTGGATGAA